GACTTTTTTTGCTCTTGCTCTGTATCTCAAATGAAAACTGATTTTTTTGATTCAACAATAAATGAAAGCAGTGCAATTAGTGCAGGAGAACAATCATGAGATATGGCGCACATTTTAGAATTGTCAATTGGGATAAATGGATTAGTCAGAGGATGGTTTCTCGTATTATACCGAGAATCTAGTACCAATTCTAGGGAAAACATCTACACAGACTCTTGACCAGCCCTTCCTCTTATGTAAAGGTTTTGGACTTTATTCTAGAGTAGGTGTAGGTGTTTACCTAGGAGTAGGTTTGTAGTGAGAAACCCGAGGGGAAGACAACGTTATGGGAAAAAATCATAATTTCCCATAATGTTGTCTTTCCCTCGGAGAAGCCTGAGGTTGAATCGTATCTTGATTGCTTTCAAAGATTTGGGTGGACCTTCTTTCACTTATTCCATTTTTCTTCAGTTACTCTGATGGAAATATTTTGAAGTAATCACTAGCACAGTAATCCTCAATCTATATTACGCAGACCAAGAGTGATCTAAGGTTTGTAGTAAACTATTTTGGATTTAAGTGTTCTGTGGCTTAATAAAGGTTGGTCACAACTGATTGTGATGTAAAGCCTATCACTGTTAAATCAAAGTCATAAGCCAAAGCTGTGACTTTATAACATAAAGAATCGATTACTTTGTATTTAATTAAGATTATTAAGGATTATAATGCAGTCAATCAGCCATTTTAAACATTAAATTGGCTAATTGTTTACAATTAAGATTTAAGTCTGTAAACAATAAAGCGAAAAGTCAGCTGAAGTTTTCTAAATTTTTTAAAAAGACCACAAACATTCTTATACATCTAGAATCTATGATATCTAGAATCTACAGGGCATCGTGCTCTTTCAAGCTAAACCACATCAAGAACTATATATGTTCTCTTGCTGCTCTATTTCAAAGCTTGTTTATTGAAAAATTTCACAAATTTGCAAAAAGTGATGCAAAAAGTGCATCAAGCTCTGCATTCTTCTCTATTAACAGAATCACAAAGCATATTCAGCTCAAATGCATTTCGCGTGAAAAAAAAGAAGTTTTTTTTGCGTTGTTCGCTTTCAACAAATTAATTCAACTACGAACACAGTCTAAAAAAATTTCAAGTATTAATTCACACTACAAAATGCAAATGCTTTGCCATTCAAACACACTCAATTTGAACAATTGAGAAACAATGAACTTGGGGCATCGTGAAATTGTTGATTACTTGAGCAATACTTGAGCAACCTCAATCAAAATTGTGAACTCATAATTTGGCAACGCAAAAATCAATTTAATTAGGAATAAAGGTAAGGAACATTGCTAGATATCCTCTTTATAAAAATCCAACTATTGAACTGTTCAATTTTCATTGAAACTTCTATCATAACATGTAAAAAAAAAACAAAGTAAAATCAATTCTACTTTTAATCCCATCCCCACCAGCCTTCTCATTTTAATTCACGAATAATCAAAAAGGCAACAGAAATTAATTTCATTTCCATTTTTGTGACTCGTCAACAATGTTTTCGTCTCTGATTTCTTCAGTAAACTTGCAAACTTGTGTTCCTTCTTTCCTTTTAAAACGTGTTAGCATGCAATAATAACATTAATGGAAATGTCAAAAGTGACACCTCATATACTTGTTAAAAAAAGTAACAGGTCCACTGTTCTATTTTGACTTACTTGCATACTTACTATTATAATTACTATTTAAGTTAGACTTATTTTCATGATGGAAATTTTAACTTTGTTTTGTTGGTCACGATTAATAATTGGAATGCCGACGTTGTGGTCAAGTTTGATTGATCCAAATGAGTGAGCTTGCCAAGGTGCATGGGACCGAAGGAACATTTCACAGAACCTTCTTCATTAAAAGAATATTACTACAACCTTTGCAATAATTATTGAAGTTTCATTTGACTACAAAATTTAAGCCTTTAAACTCCAAAACTTAACCAGTTGTAGCTTAGAATCTTAATTGAATATTAATGCAACCTTTGCAATAATTATTGAAGCTTCATTTGACTACAAAATTTGAGCTTTATCAACTCCAAAACTTAAACAGTTGTAGCTTAGAATCTAAATTGAATATTATTGCAACCTTTGCAATAATTTTTGAAATTTCATTTGACTACAAAATTTGAGCTTTTTAACTCCAAAACTTAACCAGTTGTAGCTTAGAATTTAAATTGAATATTATTGCAACCTTTACAATAATTTTTGAAATTTCATTTGACCACAAAATTTGAGCTTTTTTAACTCCAAAACTTAACCAGTTGTAGCTTAGAATCTTAATTGAATATTAATGCAACCTTTGCAATAATTATTGAAGCTTCATTTGACTACAAAATTTGAGCTTTATCAACTCCAAAACTTAACCAGTTGTAGCCTAGAATCTAAATTGAATATTACTGCAAGCTTTACAATAATTTTTGAAATTTCATTTGACCACAAAATTTGACCTTTATCAACTCCAAAACTTAACCAGTTGTAGCTTAAAATCTAAATTGAATATTACTGCAACCTTTACAATAATTTTTGAAATTTCATTAGCCACAAAATTTGAGCTTTTTCAACTCCAAAACTTAACCAGTTGTAGCCTAGAATCTAAATTGAATACTACTGCAAGCTTTACAATAATTTTTGAAATTTCATTTGACCACAAAATTTGACCTTTATCAACTCCAAAACTTAACCAGTTGTAGCTTAAAATCTAAATTGAATATTACTGCAACCTTTACAATAATTTTTGAAATTTCATTTGACCACAAAATTTGAGCTTTATCAACTCCAAAACTTAACCAGTTGTAGCTTAAAATCTAAATTGAATATTACTGCAAGCTTTACAATAATTTTTGAAATTTCATTTGACCACAAAATTTGAGCTTTTTTAACTCCAAAACTTAACCAGTTGTAGCTTAAAATCTAAATTGAATATTACTGCAAGCTTTACAATAATTTTTGAAATTTCATTTGACCACAAAATTTGAGCTTTTTTAACTCCAAAACTTAACCAGTTGTAGCTTAAAATCTAAATTGAATATTACTGCAAGCTTTACAATAATTTTTGAAATTTCATTTGACCACAAAATTTGAGCTTTTTCAACTTCAAAACTTAACCAGTTGTAGCCTAGAATCTAAATTGAATATTACTGCAAGCTTTACAATAATTTTTGAAATTTCATTTGACCACAAAATTTGAGCTTTTTCAACTTCAAAACTTAACCAGTTGTAGCCTAGAATCTAAATTGAATATTACTGCAACCTTTACAATAATTTTTGAAATTTCATTTGACCACAAAATTTGAGCTTTTTTAACTCCAAAACTTAACCAGTTGTAGCCTGGAATCTAAATTGAATATTACTGCAACCTTTACAATAATTTTTGAAATTTCATTTGGCCACAAAATTTGAGCTTTTTTATCTCCAAAACTTAACCAGTTGTAGCCTAGAATCTTAATTGAATATTACTGCAACCTTTGCAATAATTTTTGAAATTTCATTAGATCAGAAGTTTTGCAAAATATTTCGTCGGTTCCATGCACCTCACCCGTTTGGGATTAATTTTTTGGTATTAATGTAAATATTGCGAAATTTCTCAGAAGCTTTTCAATCTAGCATTAATTGATTGCAATTCCTCGAGGATATTATCCTTTTATTTAAATCTAATTCCCATTACTACGAATAACAGCTAATAATAATCAATTCCACATTATTAGCATCAAACAGTCGATAATCACCAGATAATCGTTTGATTAGATTATCGAATCGATAAAGGCATGTAAGCTGAATTTCAGAGGGCAATTAATGAAGATGAGTAGTCACTTAATTATTGTAATTTCATTAATTGATGATCAATTCCTAGTTCGAGCATTTCAGTTATTTTGTTTTTATTCATTCACAAACTATTCGTTATTGGAATGTGTTTTATCAAATCATCATAACATAAATAGGAAGTTTGTGTCCTCGTTCATAATATATTTTTTTTGTGTCCATTCATCAAAATAAATGTGTAACATTATGTCAAAGTGAAAAAATTTATCACTATTTTTTTGTTGATTAATTAATTGATATTTTCACTTTTAAAAGACAAACAAATTAATCCTCCAAAGACCTAATAGACATGTGTTGTTCTGTAACTATTCATTATTTTCATCAATATCGCATAAATAATAAATTGATTACATTTCATTAAGGGTCGTTCTCATATGATGTTTATGATTGTTTGGGGGGGGGGGTTGATTTTATGGCTTCTCCATTTTACAGTTATTTTTTGATTTGAATCTAGTACTACAGTTTTGTAAATTCAAAATTTTAAAAACCGTTAAATCAACATTTTGGATTGAAAAACGTGACTTCCTTAAATTCATACTGTGGCAATGTCGAAAATGACCGTTATTATTTATTTGAAAAAAAAAATACCGGTAAAAATTTAAATTCTAAAAAACCGTTAAAATACTAATGCTAAAATAAACTTTGGAAATCTAAAGTAAAATCACGAATTAGACATGTTTTAACAATTTTGCATATTTTTAAAATTTTATTTGATTCATTTTGTTATAACAGAAAATCTAAGAGAATTTTGATGCGAATTTTTGCTTCTTATGGACAAATCTTACTTCGTGTGATAATTTTAATCTTAAAGTTATAAATTTTTGAAGAAAATCATCAAATATGTTTTCAAATACTTTAAAATATCAAAATTGATTAAATTATGACTGAAATTTTTATTTTTTTTACTTTTATTTTTTGATTTTTTTCAACGGTCAAAAAAAATTTAAAATTTCGACTTTCCTTCGACATTTTTAAATCCTTCGACACTGAGTGTCGAAGGAATTCGACACTTAGGTTGCCACAGTATGCTTAAATTAATGGTATTCATCAGTATTCATGTCTCTCGTTTCCTTATTAATTCCAAAATCAGTTGATTTCCAAGGTTTGATCCTTACAATCATCATATAATACAAGAAAAAAATTGAATTCAATAATCCAGTAGAATCATTTAATAATCCATTAAGTTATAAGTTTTACATAAAAATTGATCTAATAGGAATCAAAATAAATTAATTAAGGAGATTTTTAACTTTCCACTTCATCTTCTTCCTCGTCATTTTGAGTAGCTACACCATTGACTTTCATTTCTCGATCCTCAAGATATGACTGCAGTTGATCTTGAAAGAAGCTGACGTATGTCTGTTTCTCATTAGCTGTAGCTGGGAAATAATGTCCTCCTTCATGTGTAATGAATTGTGGAGCTTCAAAGGCATCACGGAGTTTTTCACTGTATGTATTTGGGATGATTTCGTCATTCATTCCATAGACATGTAAGGAAGGTATTGTGATCTTATTTTCATAACATCCTCGATGGACTAAAGATCCAGAACGGAATCCAGCGGTGAGCACAGCAAATCTGGGCTTAATTGATGTCACTGAAAAATTAAATCATTATTATTAAATTCTTCTTTAAACTATGCAGGAACTAACAATTTCTCTCACTCATGCTGCAAATTAAGGACACAAAACTAGCTCCTTGCGAGAATCCCAAAATTCCTTGATAATTTCCTTCATTCCACACTTTTTCAACTAGTTTTATGCTTTCTTGGAATCCAACAGCAGGAGCACTATTCTCATTCGTGCCTTTAAAGCTTCCATCTTCCTTATTAAACCACCAGCTCCTTTGATTCTCATCAATTTCATCGCCTTCATTCAAAGGTTTTGCAAAATGATCAGCTGTTATGTACGTAAAATTAGCATAATTCTTCACAAACTTTCTAAAACTTCCAGTCTTGGATCTAAAGCCATCGCCATTCTGACGATATCCGTGTAGACAGAGGATATTCAACTTATCTGCATCCTGTATTTTTAATTTATTTTTTCCCATGCTGACAAATTGATTTTTGTCAATAAATACAGCGGATCTGTTGGGTTTACAATATGATTATTTTTTGATGGCTATTGGGGACTGTTCACTTAATGCGTAACGTAAAATACAATTTTTTACTGGAAGCAACTGCAGGTTGGAATAAATTGGAAGGAATGGAAAGGGGCCGTTCACTTATTACGTTCGCCTTTTAGGGGGAGGGGGGGTTTGAAAAATTGTAACAAAATGTAACATAGGGGGGGGGGGGGGGGGGGTCAAAAAGTATGTAACGTTCTAACTGTCGCTTGTCTTTTAAAAAAAAGTTCACGAAAAAAATTTGTTTACAAATTCACACCAAAAACATTTTTTTAAATTTTCCACCTTTTTAAAGATAAAATAAATTATGAACGTTCAGAGGGGGGGGGGGGGGTGCGTTGTAACATATTGTAACAAGGGGGAGGGGGTTGAAAAAAGTGATTTTTTGTGTAACGTAATAAGCCGTTGAGTTCTTGAATTAAGACTGGAAGGTCACTGGAAATTTTCTGGAATAGAATAGAAACCTTAAAACTCTTAAAAAATTTCTGGAATTCAAAACTGAAAAAACCGTTGAAATTCTCCTTTTTAATTTGAAATTTATTTTTTCTTCTTTTTTTTGGAGGATATTTTAATTAAATTTTCATTTTTACTCTTCACAACTTACGATTATAGTAGCAGCAAAAAATAATATTTAATTGGCATAAAAATCATGGGTCATGTCTGTAATAATTTGAAAATTGGAACAACTATCTTTTTTAATTAATTCTTAAATTTACAAACGTATAAGTTTAATGTAAAGTGTATTGAGGTGTATTGAGTAGGAGGAAACAATAAATTACTTCTTTCTTTAAGGACTAAGTCTCTACATCTTATGACAAAAATTAAAATAGTAAAAAAAAAATGAAATGCAAAAAATAATCTGAGAAAATCATAATAGCAGCAAATGTTTAACTTTTTATCTTACATGATCATGTCTACCTCAATTTTTAATATTTTTTAAACTTTTATCTTTTCATCTAAATTTCTTGAAATTGTTGAATAATTTGATTTTTTAAAAATAAATGAAGATAAAGTGAATTTTAATGTGATGGACGTGAGTGAATCAGTAAAGCATCAATATAGTCTAATAATTAATTAATTAAAATATATCTGCTGTGGTTGATAGATCGTCTTGACATTTTGAGCTGGTGTTGTTGATGAGTGCAAGCCATTATTAAACATTTGTTGCATAGCAGAAAGCATGGGTTGATCAATATATGAGTTGGAAGGAATTACGACTTTATCATCAACTCCATTTTTTGCCATTATACGATTTGATTGTTCTATTATCATTCGCGTATCCTCAACAGACTTATCCACAATTATATTATTTGTTGGTGCGAAACTGTTTGTTGCATAATTTGATCTTCCTGTTGATGGTATGCTACCTGTATGAATGTTGGGATTTGGGATGTTTTGATAATGCTGAGTTTGGTGATTACCTACAAGACATTTCCTTATTTAATTAAATCAGTTCCACTATAAACTTTTTTTATGCTCAAAATTACACATTTATTTAATTATTATAATGAATGAGTTTGGATCCACAGAATATAATTTAATTAACAAAATCATAAAACAGAATTCGTGGGGTTATTCATAAATGACGTCAAACTTTTGGAGGTCTAAAAATTCCATTATTTTTTTGATAGACGTCATTTTTGAACAACCCCTTGACAGAGGATTAATTTTTTTCTTCAATTTTTGAAAACCGTTAAATTATAAAAATTATTTTTTCAATTCATTAGAGTTGCTTGAAATGTTTGATTCACTGGAAAAACTTAACTATAGTCTGAATTAATTTTAGGAAATTGAGTACAGAGCACATAATTTTATGCTTAAGGAAGTCTAATAACTGAGTGACTTTTTCGTCGGAATTACCAATAAAGTCATTAAAAAAATGAATCAATAATGAATTTCGAAAAAAAAATAATCAGGATCAAAAAAATATGGAAAATGCTTACAAATTGTAATTACCGATTGTCATGAGATTTTGCTGATTCATTATTGTCTGTGTATCGAGTTGAACCTCGCCAAGTCCGTTTACGGTGATGCCGTTTAAAAGATTGACAGCTGAATTTTGGACAAAATGAGTTTGAAACAGTATTAAATTTGATCATTTGGTAATTGGGAGCATTACCCGTAATCAATCTCACCTGTTCTGGATCCCTGATTATCTAATTGATTCCAATAAAGTTCTGAGGGGCTTTGTGTATTGTTGCCTGGAGGGGCTTGTGCTAAAATAATTTTTTGAATAACTTGCATTAAAATTTTGGGCTCTACTGTGGCATAAGTTGACTTTCCATACCTGCTCCAGTGTATCGGAAGTAAGGATTCTTAAGATCTAATGTGTTGTATGATGAGATGCTCGTTCCTTCTAATGTAAGTTCGATTGTGACGTCGTAGCTTTGTCTAAAATTATGAAATAAGCACAATTAATATCAAATCAGAGCTAGATAAATATAAATTTGCTCACCTTTTATTGGCAATAAGGAGAACTCTGCCTGTCAACAGTTGTCCTTGCTTAACGAAAATAGGATTTTGTAACAAACAACGCACTTGATACCTGTAAATTGTAGAAAAATTTATTATGAGTAAGCTACTTATTGATGATGAGAACCGAAAAGTCGTTTGCTGAGCACGATTTGTAAGAAAAATATTTCAGTCATTTGCTATACTAGTACTTGTCAATGAAGCAAATAGTCTTTAATAGCCTACGGCTCGTGCATACTATGTCAAATGTACCAAGTCTGTTAACCTCTTAAACATACGTAAAGGCAAACGATACTATACATACCAGTGAGTTAAAGGTTCGGTGGGGGACGTTGAGAGCCAAACACTTTGCGAACTTCCACAGAATTCAACATCAAACCAGAAAGCTAGTCCATGACATGTCCCGGTCTCGAGCATGTGAAATTCAAGTGGAATTTCTGTAAATAAATAATCAAAAATTAAGTATGTAAAAGACACAAAATTGTAAAGGCATTACCAATTTTGTGTAAATCTTCTTCCTCGGCTTGTAGAAAATCGACCACATGACGAATTGATTTAGCTTGACAAATGCGAATATCGAATGTATCGACAATAGGCTGACGGAAATATTCCTTCATTGCTGCTTCTCTGAGCGAGCTCAAATCGACACTATGGAAGCTTGTTTGATACCAAAAGTTTGCTTTATTATACTGCTCAATATATAAAGCTTCGTCACAGAATGGAGCAACGTGAAGGTCGCCACGTGAAGGAAACATTTTACCATTAGGTTTAAGCCATTTCTTTGCATGTAGATAAGTCTCTAACATACGTTCGTTGTAAAGCATGTAACCCATCTACGATCAATAAACAAAAAGGCATTGATTAGATAATGATAAGAAAGTAGTAAAAGAGTAGTAAATTACCGGTTCCGATATAATGATATCGACTTTTTCAGGAAGATCAATTTCCTCAATCTTTCCAGCAATAACTGTGATTCTGTCACCTAAATTATTAGCAGCCACTAATTGTTGTGCATATTGTGCCATGTTACTAGCTTCAACAGCATATACCTTAGCCGCACCAGCTTGTGAAGCAAAGAATGAGAGAATTCCACTTCCAGCACCAACATCCAGTACAATTTTTCCATTAAAGTCATTAAAATTTCCGTGTATTGCTTTCTGATAAGTGCTCGTACGCACAAAGTCTTGCATCATATTTTGCTGTTGACTGAGATAACCATAGAATTGAAAGTACTGATTTGCCGACGAGTCTTCGGTTCGCATAATAAATACTGAGTCGTTAACATTTTGCACCTTTTTAAGGATCTCATCAAACTGTCTATCCTCGTCTTTTGTGGCGAATTTGAGAAACACTATATCATCAGTTGCGGTTATAACATAAAGATCCTTTTGCCTCTTAAGTGTCGTTTTCTTCGTCACTAAAACTTCCAGTTCAATTTCTGCACTATCATCAGCCACATTACTATTTGAAATATTTCTATCATTATCTGCAAAAAGTCACAAACAAACATTATTTCATTAATTTATATAAAGAGGAAGCTCATGAGCGGCATAAAGTATGCGTAAAAAATTCCCGGTCCAACAAACAAGCCAAACAAAGAGAAAAAGATGATTTTTATAGTATGTTGTTGTTGTATTATGTCTGGATGATTAAAACTCACTTAACTTACCTTTTATAAACTTTAAAATAACTCCTTCGGGATCATAACAACACAAAACACTGATCCCATGATGAAATGTACGCTCTCCTAAGCTATTTAATGAAATAATTTTAGTAAAATTTGTCGAAAGTTTCTTCGAAAGCATTTTTATGTTAAATGATGAACGTCTCGAGCTGTGGATTAACTTGGATGTCGGGATATAAATCTAAACGGTTAAATAATCACTGCTAATCCTTTTTCTATCTTTAATTGTGGTGGTTTTTATTCAAAAATACAGAATTAAAAACTATTCACACAACATTTTTTTAAGCAGAGTTGTAATCGCGCAATTTTAAGCAGAGTGGATATCGCGCACTTTTTAAATTTATTTCAACCGTTATGGAATTTGCAGGGGTAAGCAATAGCATTTTAGGGGTACACAGCTCTAAGCCACAGTTCCTTCATCTCTTTCACTCGATATTTTGGTCGGCAGTTTGAAGAAAATATTAATATAATTAAAATTACGTGGTTTTAGACATAAATCTAGAAGCCCACTGTTGCTGGCTTTCTCATTGACTTCTTAGCCATCATACAGTCAACAAGATTCTCATTGTATATAGCGTTATAAAGACATAAATAAGTTAAGACATTAAGGCACAGTGAAGGAAAATATCCACGTCAGAAGTAACAGATATTTCTAGACATACAAACTAGCGCATTCTTGTTTAGAAAGTTTTTGAATAAAATTAAGAAAATCTAGTAAGATGAGGATGTCTACAGGACTGATAGCTGTAATTAGCTTAATATTAGCAACAATTCTCATTCAGAATGTTAATGGAGCGGCTGTAATGAGCATAGATATTGGTAGTGAATGGATGAAAGTAAGTGAATTATTAATGAACGTGTACGTGTACTTAACTAATCTATCCAATGTTATCTCTGTATTCTTATTTAGGTCGGAATTGTGTCACCAGGAAAGCCAATGGAAATAGCGTTAAATAAGGAATCAAAAAGAAAAACTCCGTCTGTAATTGCCTTTAGAGAAAAGACACGATTTATTGGAGATGAAGCTATAACTTTAGCTGCACGTTTTCCAGCTAGTAGTTATGGATATATTATTGATCTCCTTGGAAAGACTGTCGATAGTCCAATTGTTGAGTTGTACAAGAAACGATTCCCATATTATGACATTCAGCCAGATCCAGTTAGAAATGCTGTAACTTTCAAGAATGGTGATGAGACTTATACAGTTGAGGAACTTGTAGCACAGCTTCTTCAAAGAGCACAGGAATTTGCCCAAGATGCATCTGAACAAGCAATTCAAGAATGTGTTCTTACAGTTCCTGGATTCTTCGGTCAAGCTGAACGTACAGCCTTATTGTCTGCTGCCAAGCTAGCCAACATTAAAGTATTACAGCTAATTAATGACTATACAGCTGTCGCACTCAATTATGGAATTTTCCAACAAAAGAGCATTAATGAGACAGCACAATATGTCATTTTCTACGATATGGGTGCCAGTAAAACTGCAGCAACAGTCATTAGCTATCAACTTGTTAAGGATAAAGTCTTGCGCGAGACATTGCCAGTTGTTCAAGTAATGGGTGTTGGATATGATCGTACACTTGGAGGATTAGAAATGCAACTTAGACTTCGTGACTACTTAGGAAATGCCTTTAATGACATGAAAAAGACACCAAAGAATGTTTTTGAAAATCCACGGGCAATGGCTAAATTGTTAAAGGAAGCAGGCAGAGTCAAGAACATCCTTAGTGCCAATGTCGATCATTATGCTCAAATTGAAGGACTTTTGGATGAACAAGACTTTAAGTTTAAGGTAACTCGTGAAAAGTATGAAGAACTTTGTGCTGATTTGTTTGATCGTGCTGCTGCACCTGTCCAAAAAGCACTTGATGCTGCTGGGCTAACAATCGATGTTGTCAGTCAATTTATCTTGTTTGGTGGAAATTCTAGAACTCCAAAAGTTCAAGAAATTCTTAAGAGTAAGATTAATATGGAACTAGCTAAGAACTTGAATGCTGATGAAGCCGCTACTATGGGCGCAGTTTATCGTGCTGCAGATCTAGCTACTGGATTCAAGGTCAAGAAGTTTATCGTCAAGGACGCAGTTTTATTCCCAATTCATGTCGTTTTTGAACGTGAAAGTGGCACCAAGAAGTCAGTCATTAGGACTTTGTTTGGACCAATGAATACTTATCCACAAAAGAAGGTCATCACATTCAATAAGCATAAACAGGACTTTGACTTTAATGTTAATTATGCAGACTTGGACTATTTAGGTGCTAATGAAATCTCAAATATTGGATCATTGAACATCAGCAAGATTCAGTTGACAAATGTCGCGCAATTATTCGATGAAAAGATTAAGGAAGGCGTTGAATCTAAAGGAATTAAGGCACACTTTTTACTTGATGATTCTGGACTTTTCTCACTAGTGAATGTTGAATTGTTGTTGGAAAAAGCTGCTGATGACTCTGATGATAAAGAAGAAGGTAAGTTAATTAAGTTTTGTTTTTTCAAATAACGACATTATGAGATTTAAAAAATAACGACTTTCAAAGATTCAAATCTCCAAAACCATACAAATGTTTCATTATCCGTTAAAATTTGAATATTATCTAACCGTTATTAATTTTCTAGGTACATTAAGTAAATTGGGGTCAACAATCAGTAAACTCTTCGGCGGTGATAAGGAAGAAGGAAAAGCTGATGCTCCAAAGAATGAAACAGAACCAGAAGAGGCATCAGAAAAGCCACAAGAGTCAAATGAAGCAACAGAAGCACCTCCAGTAAATGAAACTACAAACGAATCAGCACCAAAGAATGAAACTACAACCGATAAGCCAAAAGTGGTTATTATCAAGGAACAAATTAGTGCCAAGACAGAAGAATTAGTCATGAAGACATTGACTGATGAGCAATTTGAGGAATCATCGAAAAGAATGGATGAAATCTATAAACTTGAACAAGAAAAGTTGAGACGCGAAAATGCTGTAAATTCATTAGAAACTCACGTAATTGAGGCACAACATAGATTTGAAGAAAAAGAATACTATTCATGTGCAACACAAAAGGAATTGGAAGAGATTAAAGCAATGTGCAGTGAGATTAGTGAATGGATTTATGAAGATGGAATTGATGCAAAGGTTGAAGTATTTGAAGAGAAACTTGAATCATTCACAAAGAAGACAAATGAAATTTATGCTAGACATTGGGAGCATAGAGAACGTCCAGAAGCATTGAAGGCATTAAAAGGCATGATTGAAGGTGCACAACAATTTTTGGCATCAGCAAAGAACATTACACAAGATCCAGAAAAGAAGGATGTCTTTAATGAGAAGGAAATCGAGGATTTAGCTAAAGGAATTAAAGAAGTAATTGATTGGCGTGATAAGGAAGTTTCAGCTCAAAATAAGATGCCCAAAAATGAACCAGTCAGACTTACAGTCAAGCAATTAACTGATAAAATGGCATATTTGGATCGTGAAGTGAAATATCTCGTCAATAAGATCAAGAGATGGCGTCCAAAAGAGAAACCAAAAGAAAAGAAAGTCAAGAATGAGACAACAAGCAGTAATGCGACTGAACAAGATGAGACGAAACAGGAAGTGCCACAAGACGAGCCAAAAGTAGAAGAAAATGAAATTAAGGATGAAGAATCAGCTCAGACAATTGATGAGTCAGTTCCATTGGATCAAAAGGATGGAGAAAAGCAGGAACAGACCGAAGAAGCTATAGTTGAGCCAACAGAGACAGAGGATGATAAAGAAGAGCACACAGAACTGTAAATTAATTAAAACGAGTTAATTTTTGGTGTAATTTCATCACATGTGATTTGTGTATTATTTTAATGATGATAATAATAAGATGAGATGTTTAAGTAATGACCAAAAAAAAAATTAGTGCCCCCCTCTGCTCATTCCTTGGTTCCATTTCATTATAATTTTTTTTTATTTCATATTTGAAAAATGGTCATTTTTAAAATGATTCTGTTTAATTCCAACCAATTCCAGAACTCTTTAATTATTTTGTAATTTATTTATTTCTAAACTTATAAAATCTCTTAAATTCGTAAAAACAGCCTGCACAATATTTAGAGTAATAAAATTTAAAAAGAACTTATGGTGTGTGCATGAAGTTATTATAGGAAAAAAATAAAATTGAATTGTTATAGTGTTTAGCTAGATCAAGAAAACAACAAAAACAAAAAGAAATTAAGGACACTAAAAAAATTGTAATTGGGCTGAATTCAATCAATTGCATTTCTTATTTTTTGTATTTTCCCAATAAAACAACAAATACTATAAAATTTAGAAATTAAAGCACATTTTTGTTATTTCTTTCCATTTTGAACAGTTTCAAGTCACCGGAACCAAAAACAAAGATCCAGTTGCATGTTAATCACATTCAAGCAACAAAACAGTTAAATTTCAAAATCGATGCTGGGTTATAAGTCCAAATACAAAAATCGTGCACAGAAAATCAAAGTCAATAAAGGTTTATAAGTCCATATATATATATATATATATATATATATATATATATATATATATATATAATGTGTGAAGGGCCCTGCCTTTCAGCTGGAGGCACTGCGATTCAAATTAGAACAGAATCTATTGTACCACACCCTTTAGACCTACAGTTTATAGTGGAATCCGAACCACTTGCATACAATTGCACCTAGACTTAAAAACCTCTCGTGCAGTTTATAATTCCAGCTGTATTTGTACCTGGACTTATGAACTGCACGTGAGGTTTTTAAGTCCAGGTGCAATTTGTATCTGGACTTATAAACCTTTATTGACTTTGATTTTCTGGACTTATAACCCAGCATCCAGGGGCGTAGCCAGAAAAATTTTCAGGGGGGGGGGGGGGGGGGGGGGGCATTTTCGAAAATTAAAAAACCGTTATTTTGTATCTTTAAATCTATATTCATTCTTCATAAGTTTAAATATTTAATTCATTATTCATACATTAAATTTAATTTTTTGTGCTGATTTTGACATTTCTTTAATCACTTCCTCTACATTAACTGGTTCTTCTCTATAAATACTTAATAAAACAATTATCAGATTTTCGTAAGGGGGGCCCAGGCCCCCTATGCCCCCCCCCCCCCTGGCTACGCCCCTGCCAGCATCTTCAAAATTCATCCAACAAAGTCTACCAGTAAGAATGCAAGCTCTGTGCTATATATTTTTTGTCAGTACATTTAACTTTTAATTCATTGTTATTCAACTCCATTGGCTCATAATAATCCGTAAATTCATTCTCAAGAGTTATCAAATGAAAATAAAGGAGCTCTGGAGTTTGATGAATTACTTTTGATGCAGCACTTAGCAGCCATACCATAGTTTTTGGTAATTTTTCAACAGCTTCCTTAAATTTTGTAGTTGTAAGTGGTTTCATTTTCATTTTTCTATGCCATAGATTGAAGTCTGGATGTACAAAAGTTAATTCGTCGCTGTTGTAAAAAATCTCTTTAGTGTCTGCAATTTCGTCATATTCGAGATCACTTTTTGGACTGAGACTTTTCTTCTGCGTTGACTGCCTTACATTGAAGCGTTTCTTGATCAATTGTGACATAGCTTTGATATGATAAGGAACTTTCTTGTCTTCCTTGATACTACGGTTCTCTTTTTCCTGCTTTATCAGGTTTTTGATCCATTTCTTTTCAGCTATAGTTTCATGAGACAACTTTATATAACGATTCATTCCGTTTGGATTTAATGGCATTAATAGTGGCTTATCTATACTGAAATTTTTTGGGAATGTAGCTTGTCTGGTTACTAATCCAATTTCGTGTTCTACAAAAAGGTTCTCAAGTTTCTCTGGATCAAAATAATATTCCAGCATGTCATCAGTAAAGTCAGTCACTAAATGTGTATTGATTGTTGCTTCTAATGGACTTTCTAAAATAACTTTAAATGCATCCTTAAGTGGAGTAAAAGAACATTCAAAATTCAAATTTGCTGATGGCGGTTCATCATGTAGATTGAGCAGCTTTTGTACGAGTTCTTTAGTCACTGCTTTCTTGTGGATAGAAGTCTTATGGAGCCTAGTAAGCTTCTCATTCGTATTGTAGACATTAAAAGTAATCGGCTGAACCTTATTCAACATCGAAGCATAATTTTCATACGTTTGATCCAGCTTGTAATCATAATTGAAAATTGATGGATAATAGTATTTAGTTAAGATTATTTCTCGGTACTCAATAAATTCTCGCCAAGCTTCAAAGTTAAATAATTTATTAGGTAAACCAATTTTCTCAAATGTAGAATTAATTTTTTTAGAGGAATTGGAAATTTCCTTTTCACGAAATCCATCTAATCCAAAAATAAGCTTGAGGATAAACAGGATGTAAGCCATTGCACGTACTTCATAATTAGGAATATAACAATTTTGGCTCATTTTTGATGGCAACAGTTCCATTAATTTTTCAACATAATTAAACAACACAGATGGTAAGCATAAATCTTCAATATATCTCTTGGCAAGAACAATCAGTTTTGGAGCTTTTAAGGATTTTTTAACATCAGGAAAGTGAGAAAGAAAATTTTGCATGTCAAAAAGGAACGATTTATGGCTGATATAGCATAGACTATGATATTTTGTCAGACTTAGCTTCACGTCTTCTAGTTTTTCTGGAAGTAACTTGTTAAAGTTGTAATAAGATAAAATTCCTTCTCTTGCAAATCTCAACAAATCAGTCAACTGTATGTCACTTCCGCAAATATTAAGTGCACAATAAATTATATAAAGCAGTACCTTTCCACTAAGAATCAGGACATAATCCTTACAGGCATGATATCCAGTCTTTTTCGCAACAACCTCACCATCCTCATTTCTTTCTACTTCTCTGTTCCTGGATGTCATATAATCCTGATATCGTTGTTTAGCCTGTTTTGCTACATTTGAGAATTCAATGTTCAGTTCCTGTCCGAGCATTGTTGCCTCAATATCCTCAATTGTCAAGTTTGTTAATGTCGATGTGTTGCTGCTTACATTGCTCTCTGAATCCTGATTCATTTTCTGGATCTTTTTTAAACTTTTTCTGGAACTTCGTCTCTTAATTTTACGTCCTTCTGCTGTATCATCCTCAATTTTGATTTCAGCTTTTGGCTTTGGCTTGTACTTTCGCTTGCGTTTTAATGGTCTTTTATTGTACAGAATCAAAGCATCTCTGGAGGAAATAAATAGATGTATAATAAAAATTTGATTTAATGAATTTGGCATTGACTTACTGATGACGATAAAAGGAATGAAATTTCGGTAAATGAGCTAAATTGTCTTGATCAAAGAAGGCAACTTCAGTGTATTTTAAAAAAGTGATCCATAATTGCAGAACTGAAAGAAATATTCATAAAAACCTGAAATTTTTAAGGTAAGTGACACTTACCTGTCTTCTTAAAGTTAGGCACATTCTCAATCATCAGAATTTCATCGACTAAGCCTCGTAGAATGTAATTATATTCCTCAAAACTCGTGCATTTTGATTCAGTTTCTGCTCGTCTTTTTTGCTCCTCTTTCTTTGTGTCTTTTTGCTTAACACCGACTCTAATATCTAAAAACGATTAAATTAGATGATAATGACAATCCAGTGGTCTATACAGTCGATATTCACAAGTTAATTATGTTGCAAAACTTACCATAAACAATATTTTCATTAGCAAACTCGTCAATCTCTTTCTCTACTATATTTTCAACTAATTCGTGACATTCTGTACAGTAGTAATGTCCATCTACCAGTTCGTAGTTGTTAAAACCACAGTTCTTGCACGGTGCATCCATAATTTAATTTTTTTAAGTTCTTTAGAAAATTTATAGGATTTTCGCGGGTTTTTGTTTGTAAATAAGACATTCGAAATTTAAAATGTAAAGAACCGTTGAAGTAATATCATAAATTCAAAAAAAAAACCGTTGAAAACTATTACACACGTGGTGTACATTTTAATACATACTGAACATAATAGCTCTTAATTTATAACAATCACAATTACTTTCTATGGAAATAAAAAGTTTAAATCTTTTTGTTTAATAAACACTCTATAATTAATGTCTGTTTTTACAAGCAGCCAAGAGCACTTTTGATATCACCTCACATTAAAGACATAAAAGCTCTTTGTTTTCATAACAAGCATCTCGTGTTGTTGCTTTCATTCTATTTGATTAACTTTAATCAAAAATTATAACCACTTTTCGTGCAAGTAATGCTATTCAATAAAAGCCACAGGTGTATGGGATAATATCGTATTGAATTTCTATTGAGGCAAGAAGAAAATTAATAAATTTGATCATCAAGTTGCCGTTCATGACTCTAGTTTGTTACACATGTTATACATTCTCCATTTAATTATTTATTATTTTTTATATTAGCAAATCATTTCACTTTTTTTTAGAAATTGTTTTGGAACTGAATTTAGCCGAGTCATGTAAGAAGAAGATGATATTTTTACGGAACTGGCAATTACACTTTTTTAATAACCAGAACAGTGGATCAATTGAATTTAATTTTAGTTTAAAAAAATATTTTTTTCTGGCTAGTCACAAAAAAAGTAATACTTTTCACTATCGCTTTGATCCCTTTCACATCAATGAGTCTTAATTATCATCAATTCCTTTCACAAAAATTATTCGAACCACCATGAAGAAATTTCACATGTTTATAGACTAAGTACTTTTAAGAGTAAGTTTTGTGAGATTAACTACGTGTGATGGTGGCAATTAGAAGTAGAGAGTAGGCACGCTCATTTTCCCTTTTACTTGCCTTAATTTAATTTTGGAGGAATTTGTGATGCTCGGTGTAATTGATTGAATTTTTAAAATGATGAAATATGTTGGATGGCGCTTGATAGGAACTAGATTATGACAGAAATCTGTTTGGTGACTTAATCTTGACTGGATAAATTTGGCTTATAGGAATTATTCATTCGGAACAAAGCAGCAAATCTAATTTCTTTATACTTTATATTTTATACTTTTCTCATGACAGATAGGTATTCATGGGGGTGTTCCTGCTAATGCGCGGTTTTCTAATAGAATATGTTGTTTCGTAATAGTTAAAATTGGTTAAATTGAATTTTGAATTCCTATAAATCTTTCCAACATAGATCCTTATGAAACATAAGCTAAGTGCAGGAATATATTTTGGATTGTATTTTGACAAAAGAAGAAATAGTTCTGATATTTTAAAACCTTTTCAACTACAAATCTCCCGAGTTGTCTTGACTGCCTAGTAGTGTAGCCTCATCTCCTAATAATGTAGGTTCATTCGTAATGAACATAATTTTGAATAGTTCTGTTAATCTTATTTGTTAACAAAAAATGAGCCTCAACGGCTTATTGATCTATGCTCTACTCTAGTTCTTTTATTCCGAAGTCTGGATTAAGCACTCTTCTTGCATCCATCAATTTCCTTTTCATTGAATTATTTCTTCATTTCCGATTAAGAATCAGCAAACCTAATTCATATTCGCATACATACTGCAGATTAGTTTCTATCTTTAATTCTTTTGTGTTTTAGAAAATCATTTCATTGCGACAATTAAAAATCTAAAAATCTCCAATTACAATTGTATAACTTGCAATTAAGATTGACTAAAGGAAGAATTAGATGTTTGAGATGTTTGAGTGAAATGAAAGAGTAGGTTAGAGAACGGAATTGTTAAGTGCAAAAAATTGAAATTGGAACTGGAATGTTTCTAAAAAGAATAACCCGAAAAAATACAGCAATTATCCGTTAATAAAAAGTCAGCTAAGAAATTGATTCTCTTAGCACTTTAATGAATCATTAAAAAATGTTAAAAGAACTGCAATCAATTATCACAGATATAAAAAAAATCATAATCGACATAAATCTGAAGATTCTAAATTAAACAATAGCGAAAAAGTAACAGGAGAAATTGATTGGAACTAAGTGAAAATACATTAACCGACATTTCTATGGAACTGAACCAAATCGAATGCATTATTCCTGCTTCATTAGAAATCAATTTGGGTGAAAAATAAATTAAAACAAGTTCGGGATTTTCGTTTCATTAGAAATAAATAAATAATAAATAAATAATTTATTAAGCCATTTTTGCCTTAAAATTTACATGATTGATCATAATTAATTCATTTGTTGGACCATAATTTCTGATTTATGCTTTCACGCTTTCTGGAAGTTTGAATTCTGTGAATGCACGACCATATCCACCACCGCTATAAGCTCCGTGATCTTCGTGTGAGTGTCCACCACCTCCATGTCCTCCGCTATGTCCAGTTGAGTAGCTGTGTGAATGGCTGTATACTGGTTTTGAGATAATTTCATATGTTGTCTTCTTTTCTCCTTTGCTTGTGAGTGCTTTAAGTGCTACGATACCAGCGAGTGTCAATGCCATCATACCAGTGAGAAGGGCCTTTCCTGCAAGAGCTGCAACTGCTCCCATAGCTAAATAGGAGAGATAAAATTCAGGTTTAGTTGTGAAAATGATGGGAAATTGATTGTTTTTAGTTTTGAGGGAATTTTGGGATTGGCTAGAGTTTAGGTTAGATCTGACAATTTAAAGAGCTAGTCTAGTAAACACTTGAATTGAATGCAAGCATATTTAATGCTCAAATATGTGATTTGAAGCTGTAAATGCTCTGAAAACTCTTTGATGCACAGGTTAAGATACCAAACCCGATTTAATCTATATCTTACCCATAGCACCCATAGCTCCCTTCATCATCAAAGCCATAGCAAGAATTCCACCACCTCCCTTCTTTCCGAATCCATCTCCACCACCTCCATATCCTCCCTTTCTTGATGATTCAACTTCTGAAGCAACATCATCGTTCAATAACTTGAATCTTAAGGCAAATGATGAAAGGAATTCTTGAACTTTGGCAACTAAAAATCCGTTGAGTCTCTTTTCTGCGCTGTCTGGGAAGGCACGTGCTAATTCTGTATTATAATAAGAATATTTTGGTTTATTTCACAATTTTCATGGACAATTTCAGTTCTTGTTTTTTACCGGAAACAATTTTAGCATTTTGTGTCTTATTCACATTATGTTCACGGACTAGACTAATTCCAGATGTGAGTTGATATTCCGTATTTGCTGCTGAGATTCTATCAATAAGCGAGATAACATCCAATTTAAGGCACATAAGATTATATGAGCTTTCACACTTTGCTTTCATGCTCGATTTTTCCGGGAAAATTTCATTATTTGCGATTGCAGCACACGATAATCCAATTGTGGCGAAGAATATGAGGAAAATGCACTTAATTTGGAATGATTCCATTTTTTATCACTAATATTTTTTTTCTGAATTATTTTTTAAATATTTTATTTAATTTTTGTCTTAATGCACACACTGAACACGAAGCTACTGTTGTAATGCTGAATATCAAACACAAACTGATGATCACTGAATTCTTTCTGTGGTCTTATATACAACGCAATTCACTTCTGTAGTGAATTTTCGGTTATTGAAATTAACGTTTTCGACAGTTGCTGAATTTCTTTTATCTATTGCTTTAGCTGCTACAATTTTTACACTTTTCTTCATGCTTATTAAGTAATTTTTTGCCTTTCTTATTCTTTCTTTCCGGATCATACTCTTCTTGTGCATTTAACTTCAATACTAGATCATTTGCTTGTGGACGTTAAATCGATGCTGATAGAGAGTCTTTAAAAGGCTGAATAGATCTTCTTATTTACATTTTTTTTACTTGAGCTCTTAATTTCATTTAAGGCTTCTTTGGGGAAGTACAAAATAAAATTAGCACGCACATGCTTTACTTGCTGAAATTGAGCGATGGTGATATCATTTAATTGCAATCACGTGCTACAAATGAATAAATGATCTAGTTTATAAAAATAGATTCTAATCTGGCCATCCATAATTTTTTTGACACAGTAAACTCAAGTCATTTGCAACTAAAGGCAAACCGCAAGTTATGATCAAAGAAAAGAAGTAGAAAAGTTTGATGTAGACGAGGTTTTGTGGAGAATTTTTGAATTTGATTGAATAAAGTTACATTTTTCTTGTAACGTAGAATCCGAATCACTGGATCATTAGAATTCTGCATTTTGCGAAGAAATAAGTTTGTCGATTAAGATCCTGTAAAAAATGTAAAATAAATCCTTATTGAGAAAAGAAGCTTCAAGAAGTCATTCATATATGAATGCAAAGTTAGCAAAAAGGAATGTATAAGTGGAAAAAACTCCATTAGAATGAGTAACGAAAATCTAACAAAACTTGTATTCAGATTAACCTAGATCCTTTAAAAGACCATTAATGCGATTAAACCCAATTCTCAAGATCCTAAAATTCGACAAAAAACCCTAGAAAGTATAATAATTTGATCATCTCCGTTCATTAATAGCACCTAATGTCTGCTAAATTCTCGTTTATAATACTTTTTAAGTTCATCTTCAAAAAATCCCGCAATCATCATTAATAACATTCTTATCCATCAGATAAATCTTAATTGACATAACGACAAATTAAACTCAATACCCTAAATTCTTTCCGGCAAATATTATGGCTGAATATAAAGCAGAAATGGAAATGAAAATGAAAAGTAATTCATTTTATTCACGAATTTTATCTTACTCAAAAATTTTCACTCGTACTTGATACGTTTTGTATTTTTTCAGTTCACTTTTCATTGTGTATAAACATCACGCATCCGGCAATCCGTCAAATTCTTAAAGATCTCAAAGAATCATTTACTTTTTAACAACTTGTTTTCATTATTATTGTAACAGCAAATGGAGCATAAAGTTTTTGATTCTTTAAATACATCACCGGTTCTTTTTCTATTCGCGCATTGAAGTTCTTTGTAGATTTGTGCTGTAAAATAGAAATTTCTTATGTCTATTGACGAGCATTAAGAATAAAAGGATTCAATGCTTGATGATGTGTAATTTGTGGTCACTAATTAAATTTGAAAGTACATTGTTGTTGCTGTCCACAATTGTGGCTGGAATCCATGTGAAAAATGCTCTAAATTTCACTTTCTTCAAAGAATTTTTTTCATTTCTGAGAATTTCTAATTTTATATTTTTGAATCAACCAAAAAAACTTCATAAAAATAGACATCAAGCTATGCCGTTTGACATGGAATGAATCAATTACGATAGTGATAAAAATTGGAGCACAATAAACAATAAGTAAAAGTAGAATCATGTAATTATGAGTGTGTAGATTGCTATTACTCTATGTTTCTCTTTATCTATATTACACCGTCCGATGTCGGTGCTTCTAGCCAGTGAGAAGAAATAGAAAAAAAGTATCTGAAAGTAATTGGAGCAAAATCTTTTTTTCTCAAATTCTCCAAATCTTTTTTTTGAGCCTTTTACTTTACATTTAAATAATTATTTAAATTAAAACCGAAACATTTTTTGAAAAGAAAAGTAAATAAATTTGAAAATCGATTAGATTCATCTTTTATTGACCTGAAAAATCACTTATTCGGTGCTGCTGCTGAATAAAGAAGAAATTTTTCCGAAATAAAAAACTTTTGGGATTTTTTTTTTATAATTTTTTTCTGCAAAATAAGTGAATTTAATTTTTTATTTTCGCATTTTTAGAAATCTCTTTTGATCGATGAATGTCGATTAATAAATTAAATAAATAAATAAAAATTGGTTCATTTAATTATAGTAAAATCTTTTTCTCCATTTCCAATCATTTCTTTCATGATTTGGGAAATTTCTTTGATCACTTTAGATATTTTGAGGTATAGTTTGATAATTATTGTATGCATTGTAAGCTAAGTCACTAGCTTGCTGACCATTTCTATTCCAGTCAGTCACGATTTCAGCATTGAATCCTGATTGTGTTGGGTTAGCTGCAATGTAGGCTGTTGTTACTTTTTCTTGCTTCTTTGCGAAGAGATCTTTGACGAGTTGGGAGCCTAGAAAGGGGAATTGTAAATATTATAAGATTGAGGCTTTTAATCAAATATTTTGTTGAGTTCAATGGATTTTGACAAATATTTCAAATCCTAAATTTCAAACAATTGATACAGAAGCATCAAAAATTGCAAATACAAATCAACTTCATTTATGTCATATAAGAAATTGTCTCATTAACTGATCTTAGAAGTTATTTTTAAACGCTCCTAATATTGACGTCTATTGTTACATCAAAAACTTCAAATTCGAATTCACTTTCAAACACCTACTTTGAAATTTTCTTTGTCCATCTACAATTTTTCACTCTGATAGACATGATTTATGAAGCTTCTGTCTACAAAACACGACGTTTAATCTTTAAAAGACTTGACATCTTACTATCTTTTAAATTCAATGCTTTACAATTAATATCGAATTCATGTCATGTTGCTCTAACTTAATAACTTCATTTATTAAGTGAGAGTTCCATAATTGCTTGTTGCTTGAGTGAGCAAAAAAAAGCCTTAAAAAAAGAAGTGTGAATGAAAATTTTGTCAAGTTCATTACCTCACAGTGAACTTGCAAGTCACAACAAACTTTCTTTGAATTAAATTAGTTATCAATTGTTATGTCCATATATAAGCACGTGCTCCACTACTGTTTAAGTAGTAAGGTGGTGAAATAAAATATCAATCATACCATAAACATGTAATCACATCTATAAACTTATCTTATAGACGCATGGCTTGTAAATGATGTGTGAATTTTATAGCGAAGCATATATAAATCCATTTCGCCGTCAAGATTTAATAACAAAGATTTACGTTCATTACATCGCACGCTTTTACTAACATAAATAGCATATATGTATAAATAGATACATGAATGTAATGCGAGAAGCAATTTGAGATTATCGATGCGTAATAAAAAATCTAATGGCGATTTTATTATTCACAATTATTTCATCTGTTATGGTGTTTGATAGGAAAAGTGATAGAGAAAGAATTATTATTGGATTGACTTATGCAAAATTTTATGAAATTAAGGTTTAATAACGTTTTGGATTATTCTGTTTCACTTTCTTCTTATACTTATATGAATTTTGGTATGCAAGAAAATTTTATATTATCTCAATTATTAATTATACTTCAACAAAATTTCCATCATCCTGATACAGTCTACTCTGAGTGGACTGAACTTGACTCAAAAATCCAGTCTAATGTGGATCTTCGAATCAACTTCTATCTCTGTTTCAAACTCTACTGTTGATTTATATTTAATCTTTGATCAGAGCTCGAAGTATCAAATTTTAAAAAGATTAAGCAACTAACGCTACTTTTTGAACACCACTTTAAAACAGAGGTTCACAAACTGTATGCCGTGATAAACTTGTGTATTATGAAAACCTCTATCCAGCTTTACAATTCAGTTTAAAAAAATAATGTTTAATGTACCACCAGTATCTAAAGTTTGAGAAGAACTGTCTCATCCCAATCAATATGTACTTTTTAACTTACCAGCCATTAAGAGAGCAATAAGACCAACTTTCAATGCTTTCAATGAGATGAGAGTGAGGAGTGTGAAGACAACGGGAAGAATAACGGCAGACTTAAATTTAAGAGCCAACAAGATTGGCAACATAAGTTTCTTCAGCTTTCCACGAGCTTCTGTAAAAAGTTAAAAAAAGTTTAGAAAGAAAGTCCATTAAGTGCTTTCTTCATGTTAAGGCATTGCATAAAATTTAGGAGTAAATGATAAAAGCGTGTGAGTCGGTTTAATGAATGAATAAGTAGGGGAAAAATTCCGGTTGATTTTGAGTTCAATGACTTGCTGATGGTATGAGAAGTGATTCACGTAAGCTTTTGTAATCATGAACGTATGAATGAGTAAAGAACGATTTTTATAAAAAGAAGAATAGAATTGTTATTTTATTTTTCTCTGCTCTTGACCTTGCCCAATATTCTCATTCTTGGTGCATTTGAGGAAACATGTGGAACTGATTGACGTTTCTGTGTCAGTAAGTCTTAAAGACTTGCGACTGTAAAGCTAATTGATTTTAAGTATATTGACATATTTTTTTGATAAATTAATTTTATAATTAAAGACGATTTTAATAAAATAAACGTCGGAGAAAATTGTAAATTTCCTGAATACTCAAGGTTATTTTCTAATTGATTAGAGACGGTAGACTTTTTAGTAAATTATAGTAATCGATAATAAGACCCTCATCAAGTTATAGGTTTCGAGTACTATTAATAATTTATCTGATGAGATTAAATCGTTTTAACATTGCCGCATTTATGTTTTGATATATCAAAATCATCAATTGGCTATTTCACGTCAAACCATGATCACTATCCGATCAAACGCCTTTAGCTGTTATGATGTATGTAGTGTCTAGGTAGGTCAAATAAAAAGAAATTCCCCCACCATTAAGCTTCCCAAAAATAATATTTTTCTTTTATATACATTTAAGCTGTAGACTGAGCTAACATACAAGAGAAAGTTTCCCATAAACTTGAACGTGAGGTGGGATTTTATTTCGGAATGAAACAAGGTCATGAATACATAATGTATTTTACCGCTGTTTTTCTTCTCTTTCTGATGTTCGGTGCTTTTCGGTGCTGAGTTATCGTTAAATACTTATTTATTTTTGGAATTCGGTTCTTTCTCGTTTCTTTCGTTGTTTTAGATGAAAAGAAATGCATTTTTAATGAAATTAAATAAGGCTTATAGTAATTCGGAATTTAAATTTGCATGCAAATTGCTTACATGCCATATAAATATTTCTTTTTTTGTTGGCCATCGGAAACAACTGTTAAAAACTTGACAGTTAAAATTTTTTATTCTAAAAGTGGTTAATCATTTCGTTTGAAATACGGCAGCAGTTAGCGGTCTGCCTTATCTATCATTTTGAATTAACAAATGAAGTCAAACTTTAAAAATGCAGTTAGGTCTTTTACAGTCACTCTGATTTATATTTTGAGATTGAATCGGAAAGTATAACTGGAGCTAGAGGAGCAGCAGAAAAGAGGAGGGAATTTATTGTATTACTGCAAATTTTTCGTCACAATCTGGCTCCAAATTCTAGGAAATTAAAGAAATTTGTTCATCAACTAGGTTGAGATTCCCCCTAAATACACTCCTGTCAACAGCACAGTGCGAGAGAGTAATTAGTGCTGCACGTGCGTGTTTGACCATAGTTATTGGAATCAATGAGCATTTTGGTGCAGTCAGAGCAGAGATATATCCATTTTTATGCTCATTAGAGATGAGATAGAGCCCTATTCATGGAAGCGTTTTTTATGAGCTATCGCATGAATGAGTGTGAAGTGCTGTACCTCATTTAATCGTTTACATGATTACACTTAAACTTCTTTTCATGATTGACACCCTTTTGTGAACTATTCACCGCAAATATGATTAATATTAAGCAATTGTGTAAGCAACTTTTTCCAATTTATTGTTATTAAGCATTATTGAGTTCTTTTCACTACTTTTTTTTTAGTTCCAAATGATCTTAATGTCTATTCATTATTTGATTAATTTTTGTAATTTTTTTTTGGGTAGAAAAAATTTTCGTATGAAAAACGTACTTTTGACTTTCTTAATTATTTTAACTGGCTTTATTTTACCTCCTGTACGCGCTTCACTTAATTCATAATTAACAGTATGACTTTTGAGATAACTTATAATTCGATCAGTTAAAGATTCCGATGAACGAGGCGAATTGTCATTGGCACTTTCGACTTTCTCAAGTGTTAATCCACCAAATAATGGCAATGAGTTTTCCTCATCTAATTTGTCAATCATGCTAATGACATCGCTATCTGTTGGAATTTTCTCGCATGCTATGCTGCTAATACATAGAGCGGCAATTATCACCGTGAAAAGTTTCGTATTCATTTTTTTTTTTATGTGTACACTATGAACTATATATTTCAATTTTAAACTTATTAACTCAGGAATAATCGAATTGGATGACTATAAAGTACCGAATGAACAATAGGTCTCTCGATAACAGCTATTTATAATATTGGCTAATCGTCAAATATAATTAAACGAAGACAATTCGCTAATAAAAGGCGACAAATTTGAAAAAAAATCGAGATGGGGGAGTGGAAGCGATTGAAATAATATTGGTGGCATTCCAACTGTCCAAATACGTATCATCTATTATTGTCCGTAAAGTCTAAATATTGCAGCGCTGAAGCTCCGTTAGAAAATAACATAATATTCATATTTAAATTCTCGATTTGTAGCAGAAACTTATACGTGATACTTATTGTATGCATGGACAGTGTAAATGAATAATGAAGTAAAGAGAAAAGTTTCTGTACTTAGGTGGTCGTTCATAAATGACGTTTGTTGAAGAATAAGAATTTTAGACTTAAAGACTCAACCTTGACATGATTTAATTTCCAATTCGAGCTGCCTTTTCAGGGAAATTTGTGTTTTTGTCATTGGAATTGCCAGGGCACTCTCATGTCTCTATGACAATTTGTCTGTAGTATGGCGACTTAGTCCTTCTTTTTAATTTCTGATTTTACAACAAAAAATAAAGGTTTCATCCTCAGTCAGCGATATTTTATCGACACGATGTTGTGCTGCTCGCTATAAATTTAGCATGTAGCTTTAGAACATGCGGATCACTAAATGCTGGACATCATATAAGAATGACCCATCACTTTCATTCAAAACATTCAATATTGTATTCGAAATGATCATCATCATCATCATCATTGTGATAATTGATGAATCAAAATTGTTCCTCATATAAATGGCATGATGACTCTACGATTTTGTTTACAATGAAAGTGAGATTTTTTAGTACCGATTAGAGGTTCCTAATTAGAAGTCAATGCAACAGAGGTTTTCTCAAATACCGATAGCGAAAGTTGCTGTAAATTAATTTAAATGTTTTATTTTTTGAATAAAAAATTAAAAAGCGACATTCGAAATTTCACATCAAATTTTTATTGCCAATAAGCTGAAATTATTTCCTGTAAATTTTTTTTTGTTTACTCAAGATGTGATAAAAGTCGTCGATAACTGTTCTTTTTCGCGAGCATTTATTCTCATATGTTAACAATTGGGGGATGCATTCACACTTTTGGGATGTCCTAAATTCTCATCATGTTCGATAAAAATATATGTCAATATATACTTTTGGTATGGACGGTCAGTTACCTCTTGAGTTTGTTTTCTAAAATTAGATTCCAATAATTTAGTCCAATCAGTTGCTATTCGTGATTTGGAGATGATGTTCCTTGATTTCATTTGAAGAATGTACGTACTGACCACCCATAAGATTGAAGTAATTTTCATTTCTCAGTATTGAGGCTGCAAAGGGTCAGCTTAACATTCAAAGCTAGAAAACCGGCTTAAAGATTTTTAGAACTAGCTGTTGTGGTCATTTTTATCTTGCTATCACTTTCCACTTGACCTAAATATCATCAACAAAAAAGAGATTAAGTTGACAATTCCCTAAATTTGGTTTTAATCATAAACATTTGCTGCACCTACTCATCTATGAAAATATTTTAATATCAAACGTGCTTGAAAAATTAACGGAATTCGAGAGATTATTTATCATAATATCATACAAGCTCCTTCCCATTATTTGGTTGAAAATTAGTCGTAATATTGTTGTCAGAGAAATCTCTCAAAATACTTTCCTTTTGTCCATATTTGGTCATCATGATCGAATCATTTCCAATACGCACGTAGCCCATAAAGCCGAAAGTTCCGGAATAATAGAACCACTATTTTCATTGAAGAATATAAAAAACCAATTTACAAAACATCCGTAATTAAGCACTTTACATTACTCATTATGGTTCCTATTTTGTCATTTTCGCATCATTTTCACATAAATTTTACTTTCAATGAGCAGAAAAAAATATTTAAAATGACCAACAAAAGAAGAAAAGAAAGTAATTAGGTGGAAACAAATAAAAAAGAGAGTCACAAATGTCTAGATAATGCTGTAAATTAAATATCATTAATTTAAACACAATTTTGATTAAAATTCTTCTTTTCGTTTGTAAATTTTTTATTATTTCGCTTCTTTCTTTTCGTTTCTGATTCAATATTCAATTTTAATGCTGTTCGTTATTCTTCAAATATTGTCTTTTCAGCTTATTCTGTTTGCTTTTTTTTATACAAGAAATTTTAAAAAATCTACATTTTCGATTTTCTTACAATTTTCTTTCTTCAATAAATTAAATAAATTAATGTCGAAATTATTATTTTTTTTTTCAATAAATTAAGTAAACATTAAGGTTTTATGAGCTAAGAGCGAAAAAACATGTGTAATGTGAGGAGTAAGAGTAGAAAATCTTATTTCATTCTATGTCGACTTATGGTTTTCGAGTTTCTTTCTTTTTTATCGTATTGCATTATGTTGTGGAAGTATTTTAAGATTATGAGGAAAAAATAGTAGATTTGGCATCATTTAGTTATTAACATAAGAATTTGGTAAGGAATTGCAAAGATTAAAGATAAACTCTATAAGAACCTGAAGAAATAAAAATTAAGAACTAGAAAAAAATCTTTGTGTTTAGAGATTTGGGAAAGTTTTGTGAGGAGATGCTTCTATAGTACACATTTAGGTTATTCTCTATGCTTATTCAGTTTGTGTGTGTGCGCTATAAGCTAAATCTTGTGCTTCATCGTAGCTTCTGGCATATGGATAGGCACTGTTTCCTGATCCTGACCAGCCAGCTCCTGTGGCTCCTGTGTTTGAGTATCCTCCAGCTGTGGCTCCTGAATTAGCATATCCACCAGCTGATGATGAACCACCTCCTAAACCTCCTAAACCTGAAGAAAGTCCAGCAACTTTTCCTAAGACTCCTAATCCACCGAGACCTCCAAGTCCACCACCACCTCCCATCATTTTGCCCACGGAAAGAACGAGTGCAAGAACTAAAGCGATCTTTGAAACAATCAATGCCTTGAATGCCAAGAATCCGAGTCCGATGAGGAAGAGTGGAACAAGAGCGAAGATTTTGCTTCCCAAGAACATGAGGAGTGGTCCCTTCAACTTCTTCTTCAACTTACCACGGCCTAAATTAAACAATAGAGAAATAAAATATTTGCATTAATAATTTATCACTTTCCATTTTCATCTGCTGTCTCTCTACACAGCAGTAAACAAAAGAATTAATAATACAAAATTTCACCTTCTTCAAGGGCACGTGAGACTTCCTGGGTGGTTTCCTCTGGGAGTTTGAATTGCAAGCTGTGTGATTTTAAGAATTCATTGACTGATTCTGTTGCCATTTCGAATAAGCGTGATGAGCGTTCTTCATTTTCTGATGGAAGAGATGTAACAATTTCATTTTCAGAAAGTGCCTTTCCACTGCGAGCGTATGTTGGGTCTCTGAATTAATTTTATGGAAATGATAAAAAAAAAAATATAAAAGTTTATAAGATTTTGAATTTTTAATTTTGCCAAGAGAAAATAAGCAGGTTATGAGAACATGGAGTTTGTGGAATTTCTTATTTAAATTTTGTGTTCCTTATGATAATTTTTTGTTAATCATCTTGTTGATCCGAGTGGCGGTATTATCAATAAGCACAATACTAATTGGCTTGAAATTAATCATACGCGGTTAATTCGGAGTTACGTAGTGAATCTCTTTTACATCCAATAAATTGATGTTGATTTTTAAGATTAAGGGCAGACTTTTGTGTCGATGAAAATGAAATTTCACGGATTTAAATCAATTCGATCTTCAAAAGTAATTTATTAATCTAATTAAGCTCATTTTGAGTTCATAAGCTGCATTATCGTTTTAAATCTAGCAAATCCCTTAAGTCTGTAAAATTAAACTTTATTGAGTCATAAAGCATTTTGAGAAGCATAAGCGGAAAACTTTTTCCCATTAACTTAATTTGTTAGCTATTATATGTGATGTTTTCGAGTAAATAATAATAATATTACTCTCTTTTTTCATGAACTTGGAGGCGTTACGGATAATAATGAACTTGGATTATGAACTTTAAAATTATCTCTCTATTAAGCCCCATTTATTTTTAAGTGATTGCGAAACAGATGTAAAGGTTTTGAAAAGTGAAAATTTAATTCAAATTAACCGAAAAAATCTACCAGGAAGTGTGACATAGTTGTCACTCAACATTTTAGAAACTCTTTTGCATGACAAAATCGAATCAAAGTTTAGTCACAATTCCTCCACGTTTTGCTAGTGATTCGTTCAATTGTGACTATTCTAAGGTTCAGAATCTCTTGTAATTTTTATTATATAAGTGATGAATCTCTAGAGAGCATATTTCAATCACTCAATGGAGCAAAAAGATCGCGAGTTATGCAAGCTTTCTTATCGTGTCATGAAGGCGACGTTACGGTCTACTTAAACATTTATTATAGTGTAATTGATTCCAGTATTATTTCATTGAAGACTCGTTTACTTGTTATTTAACTTTTACGCGAGATCAAATCGACTTTATAAAAAAATTATTTCATCGCGGTTAATTTTTTTTTTCTTATTCAATTTCAAGTTTTTTTTTTCACCACTTTCTCTGAATCATCAATTGATTGTCCTCATTTCAATGTTCTTTCCACAAATCACATGTTTGTTATTTATTATTTTTTATATGTGTAATCCTGATAAGTACCTAGCCAATACAACTCCTTTGGTGATTTGAATGTTTGAAGCACGAGCAGCACGGTTTAATGCAGCAATTCCTTTAACAGTTAAGCAGGTTGTAATGTCATCATTTTCGAGACAACTTCCGAAATATTGCATCATTTTATTAGAACTGTCACTTTCAACTCTATTATCAATAACTCCTGGTGCTGCAAATGCACAGGCTAAGATCATTGCGGATACTATGAACACCTTCATTGTGAATTTTTTTTGTGTATTTTTTTACAGTTCTTGTTTATCACTTTAGTTCCTTAAATTCACTTTCGTTTAATTTTTTTTAAGGTAAAAACTTTTTTTTTGTTAATCTAATAGCTGCGACGCGACAACGTTCGATATGAAATGAATTGTGATGTAGTTTTGGATTTTGGTTACCCTTTTATACACTTCTTATTATTTATTTTTGGATTTTTTGATGATGATATTTTTGTTTAAGTCTTTTTAAAGAGATGATAATTTTCTTCTGTTTGAAATTTCTTCGGTTGCGTGTAGAGCGTGTACGTACACGCTCGTGATGTGCTATCTGACACTATACATAGATAATTTTTTTTCTTTCTTTTTCTTCTGTTTTTGTTAAAAATTTCATATTTCTTTTTCGGATACTCCGAAGCAATTCATCTCGAAAAAGAGAAGAAATGAAATGGAAAGAAATTACACTGTGGTGATGACATTGGGTTGGTAAGAGTAGGAGAGACAGAGAACGAATACATATGGGAATGAAGAGTCTCACTTTTCGTTAATAATTTCCGATTATACAAATTTGAAGAAATTTTTTTTTCCTGCTTTTGCAAGTGTTACTTTTGTCTGTGATCATATCTACTTATGTTGTAAATGTAAGCAACATTGTTTTGTCATAAATTGAATTGTATTAGTTTAGGATATATTTCATATTTATTCAAGGAATTTCTGTAGAAATTTTGCTCGAGGCAAAACCGCAAAGTTAAGTTTGATTTCATTATTAATGGATTAGCAAGGCATTTGGTCAGGAACAGTCATTTTTTTCCTCATTGCATTTTTTCTTTATTCCTCATCAATATCGCACCTGTCCAAGCCTATTTTCAATCACCAATTCAATTTCATGTGCGAGTACACATTGACGATTTGTTGTGAGATATGCCTTTATACACATATTAGTTAATTTCCATTGTTGTTGAAAAAAAAAAAATGAAAAACTTTCTTCATATCGAATTGATTGTTCTTAAAAATTAAAAAATCTTTGAAAATGAAATAAGAAATGAAGAGAAATATTGAGTTTTTGACTTTTGTTGTTGTTGTAGCAGATTTACCATATTGGGCGTGTGTGAGGCATATCATCAGCACCCGTGGAACGACGCAGTGGAATTTAGTTAACCTATATTACGAATTGTTAAAGAATTCTTGTTCCTTTAAATGAAAGAAGAAAGAAAAGAAAGAAAAATTTCGATTTTTATTGCTACTTATTGAATTCGTTTTCATTTCATTCGACATGAATGAGTGCATTGCATTCGAGTGAGAGCCGATGCACTCGTAATCAGTTATAAATTTTTATTATGTGTCAATTAACACACATTCTTGATTAAAAGTTTTTGGGAGATTTCCTTTCTTTTGAGGCTAAATTGTTTGATTTTTTGAAAGACTAGGAAATTGTGAACTTTGATTTTTGTTTTAAAGAACTTTCTAATAAGGCAGAAGGTCATGGCCAATTGAGGTTATTCGAATATGATGTCCACCCATCAATAACTGCTCAACTGATGTGATGTTGCCATGATTATTGGGTTAGTAAAGTGTAGTTGTTCAATTTTAATTGTCATAGCTCAATGACTGTACTAGCGACGGCATAACAGCCATATAAGACTAAATCTTCTAGATAGAGCGGCATCAGTGTTTCTCAAGGACACCTAGGATTTTTTTGCGGAACAGAAAAGCTCCGCGTAGCATTGTTTAAGAAACACTGACCTAGATAATTGATATTCAAAGGCAGTTGCCTACATTGACATGAAATTCTTGTTTGCGAGTTAGGTAAACAATAAAGGATTATTTAAAAGAGAAAAAAAAATAAAAAAAGTATTTTAAAAATCCCATTCAGTAGGTGCTTATTTTTGATTTAAAACTGAGTAAAAATAAAAGTTGAATTTGACTATCGTAAATTAGAATCTGGCACTTAGCTCCAAGCACAAATATCATAATTGCCATTCTACTTAGATATCATAAACAGTCCGCAAAGAAGAAATTATCAAAAACTGTCCAAGTTTCACTTGTTAACTGACGGACGAGTACAGAAATATACAAAAAAAAAAAAAAAACTTTACAAATTTTCATTATTTTGTAATGAAAATTCATTCATAAGAAACACATGTTGTGGTTAACAGCCATTAACAATGCTGCGACATTAAATTAGTAAAGCTTAATTAACGCGATCGAAAACAATGCTCAAGAAATTGATATTCAATTAAAGTGAAAATTTTCACCGCATGAAACAAATGAAGAAAAATCACAATTGTTTAATCGATAACTGTTAAATATTGTCTCGACAATACGCCAAAAAAAAGTCTTTGAAACTCTAAAGTCAAATACCATGTAACACTTTTCATTTTCATCATAAATTCATTTCTTTTTATGGCTCATTCTTTCGAAGAAAAATGTCATATTACTCATGCTTTGTCTACGCGTCTATAACGTAATTTTGCATATCCGTTTTTTATATAATTGTTTTCGCTGTTAAGTCATCGGCGAATACAAAAAAGGGAAATGGTGTGTAACATGAAGTTAATGAAAATTATTATTGACTTGGGCATCCTGTTAAGTAGGATGGATTAATTGAGGTAAAAGCTAATTTTTTGAATATTTAAATTTTGGCATATTTAAAAGTTTCAAGGAAGAACTTTCGATTGAAATTTTTTTGTCTAGTGGATCAGGCATAGATAGAGAATTTGCATATTTTATCTACGATGATTTTTAATAATCAAATTCACCTAAATACCTTTTACCAAAACGAGTCAGAGTTTTGCGGTTCAAGCAGTTCATATCCAAAATATGTAGTTTAGTAAGCCATCGGGTATTTTATTGTTCATTATTAAAAAGTATTCAGCTTGTTGGTCAGCAATGAGCTAACCTAAAGGTTCATAATGGCAAGACATCTAGTTTGGCAGTTAAGTTTTTTTTATTATTGCCAATTCTACATATTTTACTGTTCATAATTTTAGGAATGTGGCGCCGACAAACTTTTTAGTCAAAATGAAAAGAAAGCATTTTTATTACTGAATATGATACAGAGTTGAGACTTTGGGGCTGTCAATAGTGAGGCTACAATGATGGTCCTTTTAATTTCTTAGGAGCAGTAGACCTCAACCTTGTGGAGACTTCACAAACTCTGCAATTAGAGACAATGGTGATGGAACATCCACCCAATGGGTGACACATGAAGGACAGAGAATCCCATTGATTAGATTTAAAAATGTAGACAAATCAAAATAATTGTAGTTTTTTTTGGAACAGTGCAGGTCTTGAAATAGCGTTTTGCTGATGGACCATAATAAATATAATAATAATAATAATAATAAGTAGACCTCAACCGATCCATAATATCCTAAAATTCAAAAATAAAAATCAAGCAACAACTCTGCCTACAAGAATGTTAATTCTTTGCCCCTTTTTGATTAGTCTAGTCACGGTTTGATCAGTAAATTACGGATCAATATCTAATTATATCCCCTGTTGATTGTATTATGATACATTTTAGAGTTTCAGTGCGATAAAGCTGTGCTAAATATGAGGCTATTAATCTCTTTAATCTGTTCATATTTTATAGACATTTAGGCACCAGGAACTGAGATAGTTCGGGTCGGATTGTGATGCAATTACGGGTATCTGCCTCATTAATACTTAAAAGTATGAAGGAAATTTAACTGCCAGCTCTAGCAACTAGCCCGTGGATTTAAAGAATCCAAAAATACCTGAAATTGAAACGTAAAAGATGCGCTTTATCTAAAAACTAAGTTGACATAAAACTTTGGTGTTCCTGTGGTCATCCATTCAATCACACCCATCACTGTACATACATTTAGTACTCAACGACAAACGATGTTCGCATAAATGAAATTTCTTTATGCTCATTTATCGTTAAACAAGAAGAAATTTACTTCTTTTCATTCTTTTATTTCCAATCAATTTTCGATTCAAGGAGCAAATATTTCATTGCTTGGGAATACAAAGTATCCAATAATTTTGTGTACAAAAAGTGTCTTTTTCAAGGCACGCGCATAATTTCTCATTTACATATTTTCATTCATAATAATTTGCTATGTAGCGGATATATATTTTCATAATTGGACATTTTGAGCAATCACGAGTAGAGATGAAAAGAAAATGGGAAGATCTGAGCGAAAATCGGATCATGTAATGTTGTGAGTTTCACACTTTGCACACACAAAAAGATGTTTGCAAATTTTATTAACACAACTCATTAATTACCAAACACATTCCTCATGATTGTGAATATGAGTCGGTCGTTCTTGTGTTTGTCACTTTTTCTTCGTATTTATTCATTTTTATTTTATTTTATTTTGAGGATTTACTTTTTGCAGGTTGATTTGAGGTTTTTGGGTCATCACATGCCACACCGTGTACACTAGTCGGTTTGGTATGCAAAGTATGTGACAAACTGACTAAAAGATATAAATATGATAATTCTTTCTTTTTCCTCGATTTCATGATGATTGTTAAGCAAATAGACACTTGGCAACAACAAAAATAATTAAAGGAATTGAGTTTTCATTTTAGGGCCGTTCACTTATGTCGTCCAGGAAGGGGGGGGGGGGGGTCAGACAGAAAAGAACAATAGAAATTCCTGGAAATTCATTGTTTATTTTTGAAAAATGACCGTTTATTTCGGACGTCATAATTGTACGGCCCCTTATCATTATTATTTAAAAAATCTTACCGTATCAATCATTCGTAATATCTAAGTCATGTCTGACAGTTTATACAATATGCGAAATCTCGTAACGATTAACAATTCCCATACACAGTCGAAAATAAAAATTGATATATAAAGAAGAAGTGAAAGACTTTCAATTTCGTATCTTCTATAAATTAATTACACGATCGACGGTAATTCTCATGATAGCTTTTTGCTTATGGCAATTTTTTTTTTGAATGATGTTGACCCTCTCTTAATGTCATAATAAATCCATGTCTTAAAATTAGTTTTTGTTTACTCTTTTTCGTTGCTTATTTTCCCAAGCTTGTTTTAGATGCTTATATCCGTACTTTGCACGCTTATTTGCCTTTTTTTTTGTCTAAGTTGTAAATAGTAAAGTATGAGGAAGACTCAATTTTGTGGATTTTATGAAATATTCTCTGCGATAATCACGTGG